TAACTTGCATGGTGCTAACGAGAAGGGGATCGGAGTTAGTTATTACCATTTTCAATGGGACTGCTGTTACGACTACTGGGATCGTTGCATTACAGGTGAAATTCCAGAGGTTTAGAAGAATACCTATTTGGAGAGCTTGTTTGATCACCGATGAGCTGTTGAGGAGGAAGGACAACTGCAGAAAGCTGGCTGGAACTGTAAGTTCTTGCTGGTAGTAAGCAGGCACCGGAACAGGTTCTTCCATAATATTCCAGCTATTCAAACGCCTCAGGATACACTTGAGCTTACTTTGTTTACAAACAAAACTGACGTCTAATATAAGAAGCATATCCATACAGGGAGTAAACGGAGTAAGCAGAGAAAAAAATCGATGATCGTCGATTAAATATTGAGGTACATTGAGCTACTCGTGAGATACTCGCTGCAAAAAAAGCAACTCAGAGTAATACATGTCTCACCCCTTGGTTCCGAGTCTATTAGCAGTTATCTGCTTGTTAGAATCAACACTAGTTCAGTTATTTTTTAGCATCCAAGCAGCCATATTTTAGCTTCCAATAAAAGTTAAAGTATGTGAAAGTCGTGCTATTTTCTGATCCTAAAGTAAATCAAAATTAAATAAAACAGCAAACAAGGTTATCTTCCATTTAATTCTACTTAATTAATTTTGGTATCCATGGTCGATACGTATTTCGACTACAATGTACAGTCTTCATCAGTGTCATTACTCATCAGTACTCATCCTCTATGTAAAAATGTCACGATCACCGATATAAAAATGCAACTACTACGTGCAGAATTGGAATCTACCTAACTAATAAAAACCAAAGATTTAAGTAAACTAAAGGAAAAAAATCTAAACAACTCTCAAATAAGGAAAAATTCCAAACCTGAGCGAGGGGAATCTGGGGGATTATATTTGGCGCAGCGGTTTACTTTTACTTGCAGAAATCAGAGCTTTCCAAATAGTTGTCCTGATTTTTTTTTCTGGAAAACAAATATGCAAAGGGGCTTAATAAGTCTTCACACCCAATTAGTGTCATTTGGAATCTGAGAGAGTTAGTGTGAAATTCGTCTTGGGTATGTTGGACAACATCAACTTGGTTTTCTTCGGCTGAGTCCAAAACTGCGGACAGTCTCCGTGTCTGAGAATGATTTTATTGTTATATAATATGCAATCATGATAAATACTTTTTGTAACTGGACATCATGACTAACATTCGAAAAAGGTCTAAAATAATGGTAATTAGGGAATTAATAAAATTACCGATAACCTGAAACTAACTTAGGAAAAATACAAAATATTCCATTAAAAATGATGCGCAGAATCCATTTTCGGAATTTACTTACTTAAAAATACAAAATTTGAATATTTTTTCAAAATATGTTAAAAACAAATACTAATTTGAAAAAGGCTTGTGCATTTTACACCAAATTTGAGGGCATAACTTCAGTTTTCTTCACACAAAAAAAATTAAAATAGGGGTATTTTGAGAAAACATATAATTTAACAACTATACATGATTTCACAGTGATTTTTCTTTCAGTGTAATTTTACGATTTCTTCGTAGACGTCATTTTGATCAAATATACCGTTTTCAAGTTAAGATTCAAAGTATTTTTTTATGTTACTTCATACGCGAAGTTTGCGATTTTCAGAGTTGGTTGGAAATGCTATCTAACATGAAGCTTTAGTGTGATAATTTATTAGCTAGAGAATGGTCTTTAGAAAAGGGTAGGTAGATAGTTCCGTTAAAGTACGGCAGTATGAAAATTGAATAGAAGTTGAACATAAGCGAAGGGTCATTAATGCGACAGTACAAAGTCAAACGCACACATTTTGCCTAACCCGTACGATGTACGTGGAGATTTGAAGTATGTCTTCAAATCTAAAGGCAAAAAGTGTGCGCTCGCCTTTGCTCATTATTGTCTGCGGCTGTGGAATAGTTCTAAGAAAGTGTATTCAAACGAATTCTAAGAAAATTTCCAATAAAGTTTATGAGACTGCTACAATCGGTATTATACTCGGATTAAATCCCGATCAAGAATGTCTGGCTGCATTGATGTCGACATCAGAGTTGATCAACACGACTCTAAGCAAACACTTTGCAGATCATCCAAACAGGGAAGGCACTTAACGTTAATCCGAGTTGAAGCTTACCGCAATTAGAGAATTCTGAGTGGAATTTAGAGGGAACTCCGAAGATAATTCCATGCGAATTTCAGAGGATACTAAATGTCAATTGTAATGAGAGTTTATTTAAGGAAAATTCTTTAAGAATTCATAGGTAATACATTTCCAGATATTTTTAACGAAATGTTTGAGAAACTCATAAAGAAATCCTGTGAAGAACTCCAAGAGTATCAAGATGATTCCAACATGGAAGTTTGTTCGCGATCACAGAGTAAAAATCAAGGTAAATAAAATTCAAAATTATGCGATTTCGAATTTCATGCTTATAAAAGTTCTCTTGATTCTGGATTTTAATAAATCAAATCTTTAAGATTAGGGGAGCTGTTTTGTGAGTTCTCAGACCAATATTCCAGGCTTGGAAAAATGTTCAAGATTCTGGACCACGAGAAGCTTTCAAGATTCAAAACTAATGGAAATATTCGAATAGCATATTTTTAACGTATTCTAGAAAAAGTGAGCCGTGAGTATTCGGCTCAACTCCTACTAGACATAGAAATAAGTGAATTTTGGTACCAACAAAGATCAATGATTTATTGGCTCCGTAAAGCTAACGCGATCCAAACGAACTAGATAAAAATAAAGATTTCATTGATAACCTGGAAATTTTCCGTGGAAGTCCTGGAAAAACCTGGGAAACTCAGGGAATTTTATTTAGTATAATGAGTAGACACCCTGCCAATCTTTTTTTTTTTGAAAAAAAGAAAGATTTTTGTCCATTACAAATTAGAACTATTGAAGAACTATTCAAAGTGAGTTTTCCAAGAGCCGTATGTTGATTCTTATGTAAACAAATATTCAAACGTCAATTTGTCGAAACTCTTTCCTACGCAAACTTACACCCCTTTCAGGTAGGGTATAGTATCCCCAACATTATGTTAGATACCGATCTTTTAAAATTCAATTTTGTATTAAGAGAATTTTAGAATGAATTTCCGGGGTAACACCAAGGTATTTCAGACAAAATAAAGGAAATTTTAGAAAGGACTCCAAGAGACTTCAAGCCAATTGTGTGAGTTAAGTGTAGAATTTTTAAGTAGTTCTGTAGAAAATTACAAGACGAAGAGGATTCCAGGATCCGTGAAAAATACCCATGGGGTCCCGAATGATGAGGGTACAACTTTTTAAACGATTCTTAGAATAATTTTAAGGAAATTCCGAGGATAATTTCTAGGGCATCTCGAAAGAAAATTCTAGAGAATTTTAAAGACATTTCCAAATAAATTTCAGAAGAATTTAGAGCATGATAATGCCGAACAAAATTTTAAGACAGTTCTGAGGTAATTGCTCGGAAATTCTAAAGAGAATTCAACCGAATTTTAAATAGAATTATGCAAGGAAGTTTCAGTGAATTCTTAGAAAAAGCTTTAAAATTCGAAGCAAAAAGATGAACTTCATGTTTTTTTTTTTTGATTTTTGGAAGCAAATGATTCTAAACGAAATGCTTGAGAATACTCCAATAATTTCCTGTAAAGAGTTTTGAGTGAATTTGCTAGGAACGCAGAGCCAAATTCAACCCTGAAAAAATGCTGCTGTTGATGAAATGCTGCTAGTGATCCCTTCGGCATTCGGTTTATACTTAATTTTAATGTTTATCGCACAACCGGGAAAATTACCGAAATTCCGGGTAATATTCGGGAAAAAATCGGGAAATTGCTAATTAGGTTTCACTGGTTACCATGTGTAACGACCGTCAGTTGCAATGGCTTGTTTAAATTAAAAGAGCTCGGTGGCCTAGTGGCGATCGTTTTCGCTTACTGAACAGAATGTCTTGGGTTCAATCCCAAGCCCCTTTACACTAGTGCTTTAAAAAAATCGCATCACTTTCTAAAGTGAAGAGTGTGAGTTCATAGAAGTTTTATTAATAGTTAGGGGGATCTTCGGAAGAAGTTCTGTTAAAGCGTAAGTAAATAGAGATGACATCACTTTGCTGAGTAGTAACATTTGTTCTCGTTGTTCAGTTGTTTGTACTTGATAAGGTTTTACGACTGGCGATCTGGGTTTTTGAATATTAAGTTACCACTGTAACGGTTTTCAACTTCAAAATTTGTTAGTTACTAGGGTTAACTACCCCATTTCCGACCTATTAAGCACAACCCGCACTTAGTCTTTCTTAATCTAGCGTAGTTTAGCACCAAACGGAATGTTATTATAACTGATGGCTTCCAAATTTATTTCCCTTTCCGTATGTACCGTAAGATTTGATAAAGATAAACCAATCGTTGAGATATTGTCAAAAGTCTAACACTGCTTCTTGACGCCAAACTCGGCCTAACACATTGAAACGCCAATGAATTCACTTCGGCCTATCGGATGAAGATAAAAATTGATTCGGTCCAAGCGCTTCTTTTGTTTTTGGGAATAATAAGTGCAAACCTTCATGTAACGCGTTCTCATTGGCTTCGTTCCGTAGCTTATTAACTAAAGCATTGTATTAAACGCATAATTGACTTGTTAACTCTGAAATCATGGATTTATTGAAGTTTTCTGCTCGATAGGCCCAAAATGGGCGATTTGGCCGAAGTAGTTTTCTACCCTATATTTAGTCAAATAGGGGCTTATGTGTTTATTCATATTTGATATTGATAACCATTTTATGTGAATGTGACTCGACGCTATGTCGATATTGGAATCATGTCTTGAATTTAAATCTTAAAGGAAAAGAAAATATGTTCTTATAGATACATACGCTAACGAGGTTCCTGTGAATCGTTCGCAATCTATTTATGAATTAAAGCCCCGCCGTAGTACTCCTAGAGCACTGTATTGATAACAATCGACTGACAAATATTTTCATTTCCTCTATTTACAGGCAAACCATCGCGCGCTAGTGTTGTGTAAATGCCCAAAGCAGAAGCAAAGGAAGAAGACGCAACAGAGGAGTAACAATAATTCCAAATGTGTACGAACGCAATCGGGCGTAGCTGGAACAGAAAACCGTAGTGAAAGTTTACACCCTTTCACTCCCTTTTTCCCCGCGGTGTTCTCGTAGTAGCCGTGGGTGTCCGTTGTGTCGTAGTCGTGATCGTCGGCGCTTATCGGCGTCGCGTTTTTGTTTCCCTTTAGTTGCTAGTTGTGCTTTTTTTTTGTTTTTCCTTTCGTCGTGTTCGGGTAACTTGAAACTGCAAACTGAAGCACAATGTCCAGCTGGGCGCAACGGATGCACCGGCGGGCAGCGACCCTGGGCAGCGTAGTCACATCGTGTGGCCACCCGGGATCGCCCTATCCGCACCGGTTAGAGAAGGTTAAGTTCGGCGTTCCGCTGGACGAGGTATGCAAGAACGACATTCCCGGCCCGCTTCTGGTGCTGATACTGAAGCTGAACAAGGAGGCACCGGTTCTGAAGGACGTGTTCCGAGCACCCGGTCATCAGGGTGCAATGAAGAAGCTGATCCACTTTCTGCAGCAAGGCCGGCTGGTCAACGTGGACAACTACTCGGTGTACACGATCGCTTCGGTGCTGAAAAAGTTCCTCCGGAAGATTCCCGGAGGGGTTTTTGGCCGAGAGGGCGAAGCCGAACTGTTCCAGATCGTGGACATCGACGATGAGCAGGTTCAGCAGGAGAAGATCCACAAGTGAGTAGATTCATTTTGTTGAATGAAGCTTATCAGTTGCTTCGAGTGGGGGCTAGAGGGTGAGGAGAGACTCAATAATTACCCACGCTTGGCTTAATCTATGGTGGCAAGATAAGCCGGCTCGTGACAAGAAGCAGATTTATGAATGGGTGTGGAGCGAATAAACGTGACTTGTAGGTATTTTGAGCTATATATGGAATTTAGATTTGAAGGTGCCGCCAAGATGAATTGACAAGAGTGATTGAACATCTATCAGTATAATGCAGGTTGCCTACGAATCACGTTGTTTATTCCAGCGTATTCGCATAGCTGCGAACCACGTCTACACCGTAAAACATCAGATGGAAGAAGCATTCAACCATTCAGTAACAGCTGTTATTTTTTTGCTCTCAAACGAATAATTTCTAACGTTCCAGCCACCACGGCTCCATAAGCATTGCAGCATTGGCAAATGGCAAAATCTAACGGTCGACCAATAAGTCCGACAACCAACTAAGGAGGTTTAATTTCCAGTTCGACGCGCGTGCAAACTGCTGCTTATAAATGCAAATGCTGGCTGCAGCAACGCTTCACTTCATCTTGCCTTGCCCTTACTTGAAGTTCCTTCAGGTCGAACAATACCGTCTCGGGGTGGTGGAGGCCTAGATTCTACACCGAAAACCTTCAACTTCAACAGTGCGCGCACGCTGCACAGAAAAAGGGGTCGTCGTTCGGAACACCATATTGCCCCCGAAGTCGAAGCCCATAAAGGCAGAGCTCTATAGAAGGAGGGTCTCGGTGTTCCTTGCGCGAGAGCCTAGTCAGTGCAGTGGGTCAGAAGACGGCGCGCTCGGCGGCGGGCGGGAGTATTCAATTTAACGAAACCATCGCGGGGTTATTGTTTGTGTGTATGTGCGCAATGCGATGGAATTGGATGTGACCAACGTCGATAGTTCGCCCCTACCAAGAACGATGGCAAACCGGCTGGCTTCATGCTGACTGCGCAATCAGCTGTGGTGCGTGTATGCAACACCACGAAGTACAACTCAAGGGAGCGAACGAGAAGTAAGCGAAAAATGAGGTTAAAAGTTTATACACGGTTCTATAAGACAGGGCACGGGGGGAGGGGGACGAAGCACCTCCAATGAAACAAGACACGATCGGAAAAAATAAACAATCAATTTTCCAAAAAACGCGCACCACTTTGAACGATTGAGCTGGGAATTGCAGCCTGTGCATAGATTCGGCTCCGGTTTAGACACAGACAGTGGGTACACTGCACTTTTGCCTAGGTGAGATATTTCGAAAACACACTATGTGCTACACTATGGCGAGAAAAAATGTTGCTCAATGACCTAAGTAGGGAAGAGATAGAAGAGCGCACGCGTCTTGTTTGCTTGCTTGCTTGTTTGCTGGTTGTTAACGTTGGCATACTTTTTGGGCCCGATTCACGATCATAGATATGGCCACAGGAGGAGGGTCTTCTCATTGAAATGGCACAGTCGTGATTGCAATATTGACGGCACACTCCGCTGCGATGCTGCAGCATGTGGTTTTGTGTGTTGTTCTTCGTGGGGACTCCTATTTTCAAAGAACAGTCCCAAATCGTCACGTTTACAAACATGCTTTGTTTAGAGTGCACTTTATGGTGGTGTAGTTTTATATTGTTTGGCGCGATTTGTTTGCATTTACTTCCCCCTACAATGCGGGTTGTAATGATAACAACGGGTGTAATTAGTTCAACGACTGTTTCCTAATTTATGTACGGCACGTAGGTGCTATCGTTTGCTAGATTATTAATAAATAATCGTTGGAAATTTAGACTTTCGAAATACTGCGTAGCCAACGCTTAAACTGTATTGAAAATAGACTCGAAGTCAGAAGCAACAAATCAAGAAGTTCGCAATCGGATGTCAAGTATCGTAAATAGGAAAGTAATAATCAACAAATCACAAATCAATCTGATAAGACATCATTGGAACAATAAAGCAATAACATAAAAGAGTCACGAAATCAAAAGGACACACATTTATGAAGTCAACAATTCACGAAATCAATCAATCCAGAAATCCCATGATTACACAATCTGAATTCCAAAGTTTAAAGGACAGTCCCAGAAGGTCCTATAAAATTCTAAAGTGCTCCTTTTTTGCATTTTAATTCCTAGGGACCACAATTTTGCTTTAACCATTCAACTGATACCAACTTTGCCGAAAGATGTACAGTGTTAGAAGGTTTCTAAAAAAAGTTATAGCTGTTCAAAGATCGATGTTTCGAATTCAATGCCAAAAATCACTTTTCTTGCTACACTGCCGGTGTACCAATGTAAGACCGATTTTTTTTTTTTTTTTTTTTTATTATAGTCACTTTAACACTCTTGGGTCATTCGTGACTTGTCCGGGGGTGAGATTTGAACTCGTGACTTTGGCGTGAGAGGTAAGGATGTTAACCACTACGCCGGGGTCGCCCCCGGTAAGCCCGATTTCAAGCTGAAATAATATCGGAGTTTCTTTTCTTATCGATTTGGTATTTTCAGATGATGAATAACTCTGTCTCATAAGCGTAGTTAGAAAGGAGGGCTTACTAAAACCACAGTCCCTCTCACTCAAGTCAATGGAAGTAAAGCTTCAAACTGAATTACATAGTTGAAGATGCTAATTTCAAATGACAGACTAAACTGGTAATTTTTATACGATAGATAAAGAGATGAAAGTATAGAGTTGATAGTTCCGTTAGAGTACGGCAGTGTGAAAATTGTATATAGAGAGTAGAAAGCGAGCAAGGACAACTTTTTAGGAAGGTACAAATCGATTTGATCATCTCTATTTACCAAACTCCCCCGTTGGAGAGGGATGGTGAGGGGTATTCCACACCGCCACCACTGGCAAAAAGAGATGATCACCGACACGCTCAAGTACCGACGATGCGTTTGAAACAGTTCTATCGATGTTTACCGCACGCAAGTTGTTATCTGAAGGAAGGCATCCAGTCGTAGGTTTGGAAATTGCAGCTATTGTTACCTCTACCAAAAAATTTGTTGAATCTAGCTGTTTTTTGTAAACAGGGACAATCGTTTACTGTAAATTTTTAATAGAGCAATTGAAGAAAATGCTCTGCATTGGTATTGTGGTAAGTGGCATTGGCCAAATTTGGATTTTTCAGATACAATCCTAAATAGGACCTCGATTATTCAATACTCTAGTAACCTCTGTCACCATATTTCATTATGATTAATAATCACTCAATGGGTAAAGTATAAAATTTGGAGTGAATTTGAAAGAAAGGGAACTTGGAGTGTAGAGCGCACTGCCCACTGGACGATCCTGAAGCCTGACCAAGTGAATGGGTTATCGATTTATTAGATTGTACCTACGTCATTTCCCGGAAAACTACATGGGCAATACAGCGCATATTGAAATAATTGCATTTAAATGGATCATTGATCACCGGAGGTTCTGAGAGCGGCCAATGATCCATTTGAAGTTTATGGTAAGTCTATTAATGAAAAACCACGAAGAAAGAGCTTTTGCACAACATGTTTTGATGTAGATTTGTAATTGTTCCCCCGAGGCATTCCTGTTGGTCCGAAAGCAGCCAATGTGGTCATTGAACCCTTTGATACTCCGAATACGATGCCTCCGAAAAACGTGTAACGGCAAGTTTGCAATGACATAACTTAGCCATTTCTTAATGAATTTCAAAAATTGTGGTATCTTTAGAATTCCTAGGGTTTGTAGATGATTTTGATTGAAATAGAGTCGTCTACTTTTTTTAAAAAGCGAAAAGAGTTGTTACACGTTTTTTTGAAAAGTGTGTTTGTAGGGTTTTGCAAGTGGTGCAAGATCTGTAATTTAGATTAATGGGCACAAATGTTCACAATTAGCCAGAAAACAGTGATGGTTCCTATGTATGGATCCTGGAGACAACGGAACGGTCCTCAAAAAATCCGGAACATCCGTAACAGTGGTCAATCCATGAACCTGATCCTAGAGCTCTGCGGTTTTTTTTTAAAACATTAGGAACTGTGATATAAATAAATATTTGGGGTCGTGACATAAACAAGTACCTGGATGGCCATGAGACCGTCCTCCGAAAGATCCGGAACATCCGTAAAAGTGGTCAATCCATGAAACTGATCCTAGGGCTCCGCAGTTTTTGAAAAACACTAAGAACTGAGATGATAGAATGAATTTGGGTCATGGAACCAGATGGTCATCGAACCGTCCAGCGGAAGATCTGGAACATCCGTAAAAGTGGTAAATCCACGATCCTGATCCTAGAGCTCCGCGTTTTTTAACATTAGGAACTGTGATGATAGATAGAATTTGGGGTTGGGACATAAACATGAAGCTGAATGTTTATGGGAACGTCCTCCGGAAGATCTGGAACATCCATGAAAGTGGAAAATTCACAAAACTGATCCTAGAGCTCCGTGGTTTTCTTGAAAACGTTAGGAACTGTGATATTAGAATGAATTTGGGATCGTGACATAATTAAGGACTCAGATGGCCATCGGACCGTCCTCCGGAAGATCCGAAAAATCAGGAAAAGTGGTCAATGTGTGGAACTGATCAAAGAGCTCCACGTTTTTTTCGAAAACACTTGGAACTGTCATATATAAATTAATTTGCGGTCTTGACATAAACATGTACCTAGAAGGCCATGGGACTGTCCCTTGCAAGATCTAGAACATCTTTTAAAATGGTCAATTCTCGAAACTGATCCTAGAGTTCTAGGTTTTTATTTTCGAAAGCATGTGGAACTGCGATATAAGAAAGAATTTGGGGTCATGACATAAACATGGACCCAAATGGCCATGGGGCCATCCTCTGGTAAGTCCAAAACATCCGTAAAAGAGGTCAATCAATGAAACTGATCCTAGAGCTCCACAGTTTTTTTTTCCAAAAACATTAGGAACTGTGATATAACCCGAAATTGCTTCTATTATCACAGTTCCTAATGTTTATAAAAAAACGCGGAGTTTTAGGCTCAGGATCGTGGATTTACTACTTTAACGGATG